TTTTTTGTAGAGATTGGGGTCTCACTCTTGCTCAGGCTGGTCTCGAACTCCTGACCTCAAGCGATCCTCCCTCCTCAGCTGCCTACCCTCCTTTTTCTTTTATTGACTAATCTGCCTCATGTCAGTGATTTTACAATGGACCTTTAGGGGGCCACGGCGCTTGGTCCCTACACCCCTGAAACATCTACCCAACCTCACACAGACAAACATGGGCTCACAGAGATGGAGCAACTTGCCAGGAGTCACACAGCACATTGGCTGCCCCGAGAGGGTTCAAAGGACCCAAGAAATCATTTTAAAGGAGTGTTTGGATGTGTGTGTTTTGGGCAGATAAGTGAGTTCCCAGGCCTTGATGGGGGTTCCCGTGGAAGGTAACACGTCCTCCCAGGTTGCCCCCTCCACCAGGAAGTCCACCTGCATTGCTGCACTGCCACCTCCTACCCCGCAGGCCTTTCTTCTGGCTGCCTGTTCATTTGTTCATAATTTCACAAATGTTTCCTGAGGCTTAGTGACACCATAGGGGACAAAATAGACTCCAAGCAACATCAATAAAACAGCGGCAGTGGCGCTTATAGCCCAATGGGGAAGATGGAGGAGAGATTAGTAAACAATCTACGTGTGTGATTATTTCAGAAACGAATAAAGCATTGAAAGAACATGCTGAAGTGGCAGAGACCGAGTTTGTGGGTGCCAAGGAGGGGGAGGACAGGCTTCAAGTTAATCAGCCTCAGGCAGGGAAGGCGGCCACTGAGGAGATACCGTTGAAACCAAGACTTGAAGGCCGACAGGGAGTGAGCCTTGGAAATACTTGCAGAAAGCCAGCGGGCAAAGCCTGTGCAAAGGCCCTGGAGCAGGACCATGCCTGGTGTGTTAGAGGCACAGCGAGGAGGCCTGTGTGGTTGGAGCAGAGTGAGGAGGGGGACAGAGGGAGAAGAGGAGGGCGTGGAGGGGATTGGGGAGGTTGTGCAGGGCCTGGTGAGCTTTTAGAAGGACTTGGGTTTTTGTCCCGAGGGAGGTGGGAGCCATGGAGGGCTGTAGGCAGAGGAGGGACAGGCCCTGACACAAGTGCTCCCGGGCGCCCTCTGGTGGCTGCTGCGGGGAGGACAGACTGTGAGGTGCCCGGTGGAGGGGCCGGGTAGGGGTCACTGTGTTAGTCCAGGTGACTCCAGGTAAATGAGGCCGGACCAGGGAGACAGCCACCGAGGGGGAAAGCAGCGATCGGATTCTGGGTGTATTTGGAAAGCAGCGCCAATCGGATGCGCTGAGCGATGGGATGCGGGTGGGAGAGCGAGGGGTCCGGCTGAGCCCTTGGAAGAACCGAGCCGCCCTCAGCCAAGACGGGGGACGTGGGAGGAACAGTTTGCGGGGCTGGCTGGGCAGAGCACGGCCACGTTGAGTGCGAGGCCCCGGGAGCCCCCGTGTGGAGACATCAGGGGGCAGGTGGCCGCGGAGCCTGGACCTCCAGGGAGGCCTGGCGTACAGACAGGACTGCGGCCGCTGTCAGGTGCGGACAGGTCTGGAGCCCCGGTGTCCTGAGCAGGAGGGGGGACCAGGCTGGGACAGATGCTACCGAGAGGACCGAAACAGACATTGACCTCGGCATTGCGCACAAGATGGCCACGGCAGGGAACAATCTCTGGGGAGAGGAGGACGCAAGCATCAAGCATCTGAGTCTGCCCAAGACTGAGACAGGGTGACCATATGATTTATCGTCGAAATCAGGACGCTTTTGAGCGAGAAAGGGGGCGGAAGTTGGCACCGTCCCAGCCAAAGCCAGGTGTGTGGCCGCCCCAGCTCAGGAGAGGGTTGGAGAAGGGGAGGGTGGTGACGACTCATCCGATTCCATGAGTTCTGCTGCAAACACACGGGCAACATTGTGTTCAAAATGTAGCACCCTGGGAGGCCGAGTTGGGACGATCACTTGAGATCGCGAGTTCCAGACCAGCCTGAGCAAGAGCGAGAGCGAGACCCCCCC